CCCCACCCAGAGGCAGGTGGCTGGCACAGGTCTACTCTGTGTGAAGCCAGGCTTGGTTCCAGGACACTCCACATGAAGCGAGCTCAAGGGTCCTCACCAGGCCCTCTGAGGAGCCCCAAAGCATGCAAGCTCTGCAGAGCACCCATCTAGTGGGGATGACATTGCCAGGGCATCATAAGTAAAAGACATGCTGCCCACCGTGGCTGAGATGGCTGCCCTGGGAGTCCAGAGCCACAAGGGCTTTCCCGGGACTTCTGTCCAAGACCTGTAGCCCGTGAGCTCCCTGCTTAGCTCACGTCCTGCTCCGATCTTGGCAAACGGGGACCATGAGGAAGGGCTGAGATCAAGGGGAGGGGGCTTCCTGGGGACTATGGGTCCATTTCTCAGTTCCAGCCCAGCTGGCAGTGCTTTAAGGAACAATCCTTGGAGACCAAGAGCTTGAATCTGGGCCACAAGTCTCCTGGGGAATGGGGACACTGGTACTGAGCATATCTACACTGGACCCACACTCCAAGTCCCCACTGTGTCCGCATACACAAAGTTCTCATTTCATTACGCGCACAGACCTGTCACAGTCGCACTGAATACTACACTGTACACTGCACACTGTAGACACAGCTCACAGTCTGCCACTGTGTGCACACACCACGCTGACATGCCCTAGGTTCCCCTGTTCTGACACGCTGTACACCTCCTCCCACCGCTCAGAGGTCTGATTTTTATCAGCGCTGCACAGACACTGAAAAGTCTTATTTTCCTCAGACACCCCCCCCCACACACACACCCCTACAGTCCTCCAACTCTGGCACACCACACCGGCCTGTACACGCGCAGTGCCCACACAGAGCTCCCAAACAGAACTCCGTGACTCCCTCCCACGCCGGTGGGGCTTGCGCTCCCGCCCCCAGCAAGCTAAGCTGAGCTCGACCTTGGGTTTCCCGGCTCCGTCTTCACCCCTCCAGATGCCTTTCCCCACCCCACCCTCTTTCCCCCGAAGCTTCAGGAAACTTTTCAGCAGGTGCCTAAAAGGGGAAACCTGGAGTTCCTCCCGTCCTGCTCTTCCCCGACGCAAGCCGTCCCTCATTCCCCAGCTCGGCTCCGCCCGAGACCCAAGTGGGGAAAGGTCACCGCAGGCAGTCCCCTGCCTGCGCCCTGTGGCAATAACAGCTGTCACCAGGGGCTAGGCGAGGCGTTGGGAAAGGCGTTGGCTCTGCGTCGAGCCGGGGGCCCGAAGGGGTCGCCGCGACGCGCGGGAGGAGAGCAGAGAGGCCGACGCGGCCGCATCTCCGGAGTCCGGGCGGCGGCCTCGCAGGGAGCTGGGAAGCGCGGAGCTGTCCGTTCAGCACCACCGCGCCGTGCCCCAGAGCAGGGCCCGCGCCGAGGCGCACCGGCTCATCTCCCGCTCCGGTCCCCGCTGTGGCGCGCGTTGTTGTCTCCCTTCGGTGCTGAGGGGCGCGCGGACAGAGAGAGGAGGGCTCTGCGGGCATCGGGGCCACGCAGCCACCTGTGAGCCTCCTGCAACTGCGGACGGCGGCGGCATCCCCGGCCGGAGACAGGAGACGCTCGGCGGACCCCGCCCGCCCTCCCGCCGGGCGCACACCCAGGCGCACACACACTCGCACCCGCGCGCACACGCACAGCCAGCCGGCAGCTGCGGCCACAGCGATGCTCGCCGGCAGGTCGGGGAAGTTTCCCGCCGGCCTCGGCCGCGGGCCCCAGTGCTCTCAGGTAAGCGCTTCCAGAACGCGCAGGGCGAGCCCGGATAGCTCCGCGGGGTAAGGCGCGGCGCGCGCGGCGCACGCGGCTCCAGGGCACGGCGCCAGGCGGGCGGGGAAGCCTGGGGCGGGGGGCGAGGGGGTTCCAGTCGCGGGGGCTGGACGCAGGGGACGCCAGGCCGGCCCCCTTACCCCACCCGGGGTTAATGACTCGAGAGGGGAATTTCCCCGCCCCCTCCCGAGGCTACGCGCCCCCCATCTCGGCCCAGCCCGGCCGGTGCGCATCCCAGCTCTGGTCCCGCCCGTCTGCGGCGAGCGGGCGGGGGCGTCTCCTCGATCCGCCCACGGGCAAGGTCAGCTCGCAGCTCCCTGGGCTCTCAGAGCCGCTGGGGCGCGACCTCCGCCAGCGTAAAGGGACCGACAGAACCCCCAGGGTGGGCGTGGAAACGCGGCCATGCTAGTGGAAACATAGCCCCCACTCCAAGCCTTTCCTTGGGAGGGGGCCAAAACCCATAGAACCGGCTCCCCATCCCAGTGTCCTTCAGCACCCAGAGACCCGCTGGAGAGGACTGGGTTCGCCAGGGACGGATGGGGAAATAGAAAGAGGTGCCCGAGCCCTGGGCGCCCGGCGCTCACCCGACACGATTCCTTCGGCTTCCAGGTGTAGCGCCCCCGCGCGGCGCGGGCGGCTGGGCGTCTCCAATATGACTGGCCAGAGCCTGTGGGACCTGTCGGAGGCCAACGTCGAGGATGGAGAGATCCGCATCAACGTGGGCGGCTTTAAGAAGCGGCTGCGCTCGCACACGCTGCTGCGCTTCCCCGAGACGCGCCTGGGCCGCCTGCTGCTCTGCCACTCGCGCGAGGCCATCCTGGAGCTCTGCGACGACTATGACGACGTCCAGCGTGAGTTCTACTTTGACCGCAACCCCGAGCTCTTCCCCTACGTGCTACATTTCTACCACACCGGCAAGCTTCATGTCATGGCGGAGCTGTGCGTCTTCTCCTTCAGCCAGGAGATCGAGTACTGGGGCATCAACGAGTTCTTCATCGACTCCTGCTGCAGCTACAGCTACCACGGCCGCAAAGTGGAGCCCGAGCAGGAGAAGTGGGACGAGCAGAGCGACCAGGAGAGCACCACGTCCTCCTTCGATGAGATCCTGGCCTTCTACAACGATGCATCCAAGTTCGATGGGCAGCCCCTGGGCAACTTCCGCAGACAGCTGTGGCTGGCGCTGGACAACCCCGGCTACTCGGTCCTGAGCAGGGTCTTCAGCGTCCTGTCCATCCTCGTGGTGTTGGGGTCCATCATCACCATGTGTCTCAATAGCCTGCCGGACTTCCAAATCCCTGACAGCCAGGGCAACCCTGGTGAGGACCCCAGGTTCGAAATCGTGGAGCACTTTGGCATCGCCTGGTTCACATTTGAGCTGATGGCCAGGTTTGCTGTGGCCCCTGACTTCCTCAAGTTTTTCAAGAATGCCCTAAACCTGATCGACCTCATGTCCATCGTCCCCTTTTACATCACTCTGGTGGTAAACCTGGTTGTGGAGAGCACACCTACCTTGGCCAACCTGGGCAGGGTGGCCCAGGTCCTCAGGCTGATGCGGATTTTCCGCATCTTAAAGCTGGCCAGACACTCCACTGGCCTCCGCTCCCTGGGGGCCACACTTAAATACAGCTACAAAGAAGTAGGGCTGCTTTTGCTCTACCTTTCTGTGGGGATTTCCATCTTCTCCGTAGTGGCCTACACTATCGAAAAAGAGGAGAATGAGGGCCTGGCCACCATCCCCGCTTGCTGGTGGTGGGCCACCGTCAGCATGACCACTGTAGGGTATGGAGATGTGGTCCCAGGGACCACGGCAGGGAAGCTGACCGCCTCTGCCTGCATCTTGGCAGGCATCCTAGTGGTGGTACTGCCCATCACCTTGATCTTCAATAAGTTCTCCCACTTTTATCGGCGCCAAAAGCAACTCGAGAGTGCCATGCGCAGCTGTGACTTTGGGGATGGAATGAAGGAGGTCCCTTCCGTCAACTTAAGGGACTACTATGCCCATAAAGTTAAATCCCTCATGGCGAGCCTGACGAACATGAGCAGGAGCTCGCCAAGCGAACTGAGTTTAAATGATTCCCTGCATTAGCTGCGAGGACTTGACCTCCTCAAACCCACGTTGCTGAGCTGTTTCTTGTGCCTCTGGCACAGTCCAGGCACATTAGGGCTATGGTGTAAGGAGTATGCCCAGCCCCAAAGGGGAGAGATGCATGGGATATGCACCCCAGGTTGCTTTTACAGTATTTAGGATCATTTTTAGAGGGTGGTGTGTCTGACACCATGCCTTTGCACCTTTCAGTGAAATGACACTCACTGGTCTTTGCATCGTGGGCATAAAATGTTCACCTTTCTGCCGGATGAGTACCACCTAGAATGCTAATTTCTCTGTTCATTGTGTTCTCTATCGTAGTGCTTGTGGCCCAGTACTGTCTCAGTTGTTTGTGCTCCTGTTTCTGAGGTTGTCGTGTGAGTTCTGTACAAAAAGCCCCCACAAATATGTCCAGTGGAAACACATCTATGGGGTCAGCAAGGATATGATGAGGTTTTGCTCACAGTCATGTAGAAACAAAATCTCAATTCTTTATCCAATGCTTTCATTTAGTTTTAATACCAAAACAAAGGGAATGTGAAGTTAAGTACACATGACTGATGCAAGTCTGTGAGTTGTTTTTGTAACTCTGTAGCCCTGTGGCTTGCATGGGTACCCTGCTCACTCTTAGAATGATGTACACTGATGCTCATCTCTCAAATGTTGCTCTTTAGAGAATGTTATTTTGTTAATCATGTAGTGAAGCTTGAAATCTTTACCAAGAATAGATGCATTAGGGACAGGGGCTTCAGCTAAACATAGGCCAAATCACAGGATGCTTGAAGACCTTTCAAAGTCAGCCCTCCGTCTTTTCTAGGGTGGTCGTAGAGACATTTATTTCTTGCTGAGGTTCCTGGTCTAGGTCATTTGAATAAACTTGGCTGTGTCTTAGATATTAGCATGTTTTTGAAATGTTTCCTTTTAAAGATGTTTAGAAATAAGATTGCATTGTCTTTATCAACTAAAAAGTTTACTGTTGTATTGTCTGAGGCAAACATTGTTGGGTTGCTAGCAAGGGCAGTAGCTTAGAAAATTCTGTTGCCTGCTCTGAAAGCTTATAAAATGAGAACCCTTTTATTTCCAAGCAGAATTTACTTAGATAATTTTGCTTCTATGATACAGTATGTTACATATGATGCTCTAACCGCCCCAGAGTTCCTGGTATGACATGGAAACCTGGTGGTGTGGAAGTGTGTACTCAAAATATAGACAAATGGCTTATCCAGGATGGAAATATTATAGTTCTTATTTCCATTTCAGCTGCCTTTTCTTGGGGGAGGGTTGGTGGAGGCCAGGAGAAAGGAAGGAGTTGGAAAACAAAAAAGCATTGTTACTTAATAAAATGTCATAAATAATTGTACACTTCTTGAAAAGCTTGATGCTATTTAAAAGACCTTTAAACTTCTAAACTTGTGTCAAGGTTGAGAACTCTTTCCTTCTCCAGAATGCCCTCTCTCTTCTTTGTCAGTTAGCCAGCACATAGCGTTTTGAAGGGTTAACCTGGACCCCTTAGTAAGATAGTTCTCTGTTATATTCTAGGTAATCAGGTGGTTTTCCAGTTGGCTTCCATTGTTGTTCAGTCTTTGGAAAGGCTGCAGAATCCAGGGGTCTACATGCGGAGTTAGGCAGGCTTTTTATCTCTGTCTTGGATCTTCCTTAAAAAGGTCCACATTGTGTCTTAGTTGGTTGAAGGTAGTACATACTTCTTGGGGATGTGGCGAGGATCCTGTCAGAGGCTTTGTGTACTTGTGATTGCCATGGCTACTACAGAGCGGGCCATTTGCACTAGTCACTTATGCCTTTAGGTCCCCAGTTCAAATCTTTCCGTCAGACTGGAGCCTTATGGTGGGCAGGGAGGCAGCCACGTCCTGGTGCTGCCTGGTCTACCGTCTACATTTGTTTCTCAGAAGCATCAGGAAAGGTGAGATGACTTAGGGGCAACCAACCACCAAGTCAGAAGGGCAGGGTTATTTCTCAGAATTTGCACATGTAGCACTTGGCTTTGGCTGATGTTTCCAGCACTGGAAGTCAGAGAATTTACGAAATAATCTCCAGCTGCACTGAGGCAGGTGATGGTACAAACTCGTGAGGACTGTTCAGTTTGCCAAGGCTGATGGTATTGGGTCACTGAGTGTGGTATCCACGGTCACTGACCAAAAAGCTTGTGAAAAGTGGGAACAAGGAAGGAGGCTGAATAATTCAGTCACTCTCATGAGTATTTTTTTTAAACAGGCAGGTTTTACCACCAAAACAGAGATACCTCTATTGGTTACTTTTTGCAGATGTGAAAGCTGGAAAACCTGACTTTTCATTTTGGTGATGACTTGCGTTTATCTGGTGCCTTTCATTGGGGGAATCCCAAAGTACTTTAGAGACTGTCTTTTTAATATATTTTGTACATCTATATACTCGTATAAAATATTATTTTGCCCATCCTGGAATTTCAGTTACTTCCGAGCATGAGACTGTCCTAATAGCATTAAGGACTCCAAGCAGTGGTTTCAGTTAAGAGGGAGCGAGAACAACCCAGCTGGCTTGAACACTGGAGTTAATTCCCACAGAGGATGGAGACAGAACTGTGATCCAGGGAGGAAGAACACTCCTCTCCCACAAAGTACGACCAAGGTACGCAGTTCACAAGTGCTCTCAGCTGGGCTTTGATTGACCTTGTTAGATAACATCTTATGGAGCAGTTTCTTCTGGTCCCTGAAACTAATCGGTTCGGGGAAGGGGGGTGGGGTCAGGTGAATTTTCTGCTCTGTTTCTGGAGTTAAGAACATAATGGTGAGGTGACATCTTTTGCTACTAGGCTGTCAGACTGACCTGTAAACCTCCTTTAGGGGGACCCAGTAAAAGCTTCAAATCACCTATTTCCTGCTGTGGGCTTGAGAGCAGCTTCACTCCCAACATTTGAAGGTTGTTCTTTTCAATGTCTTTGGGACAAATACATGGGCCAGGCTTTTCTGGAAATATATGTGATGAGCATTTTGAAAGCGCTGGCTGGGAAGTGACACTGTGTCTTTTCTGCACAGATGCACACTGGTTATAGTTTGGTGTTTTCTGCCAACCCCCCGCATTTCCTGGGTTTGCTGCTGAGGAGGGGCATGTTATAATGCCAGGCTGATTTGTAGCTCCTAAGGTAGTAATTGGTATTTAATCCTTTGATTTGTTATTTCTACTTGGCTTAGTATTCAAATAATGAAACTACCTGCTAATTCTTGCCTCATTTCAAAGAAAATGACCTGTTACGCCCTTTGGGATAGCAGTGATCTGTACAGGCTGTGTTCTATCTACTTGAAGGCTTAACTGGTATTTCTTGTATGTTTTAACAGCATGACTTGTTACAGAGTTGTAATTTTAAAAATTGAGAACGCTGTATTTGCGCTGTCCATTTTAACACTCATTAACACGCTACTGTGCGGGCATTGATGCAGCCCCGCAGAACTGTTCTGTGTGATGGCTGCACTTTACTCTCCGCGCCTTGACTCAGCAATGAGGAAGAACACTGACACACTCAGGACTCCAGCCTCGAGGAGAATGCAGATTAAACAGAACACAATTATTGACACTCCCTTAGGGCACTTCAGTTACACGTGGAGTGGCAAACACAACAAGGGCGTTCGACATTGGGGACCAGATTTCCTGAGAAAGGCTGGGCTTTTTTTTTTTTTTTTTTTTTTTGCGGTACGCGGGCCTCTCACTGTTGTGGCCTCTCCCGTTGTGGAGCACAGGCTCTGGACGTGCAGGCTCAGCGGCCATGGCTCACGGGCCCAGCCGCTCCGCGGCATGTGGGATCTTCCCGGACCGGGGCACAAACCCGCATCCCCTGCATCCGCAGGCGGACTGCCAACCACTGCGCCACCAGGAAAGCCCAAGGCTGGGCTTTTTGAGCCTTTGTTGGGAAGGAAAAGCTGTTAGTTATTCTTTGCAGGCACAGAGAGGTGGGAGCCCTTTTTTCACCAGGCCCTAGAGCCACCATCCTGCTCTGTAGAAGGGATGGTCATGAATTCTTGGAGCCCCCATGAAACAGACACCCCTGTCAGGGTTTGCCCCACCCACACGGTCTGGTTCAGCACCACATGCCCCTGCTGGTGCCAACCCCACCCCGCCTGGCTGCCAGGCTCCATGCTGCTACGGTGCCTCCCTGGCAGCAATTTGGGTCCTGGGTAACCTGAGTGTTCTGGCTGGTTTGGTGTGACTATTGCTGGGGGAACTGGCCCTCAGCACCTACTTAACCCAGTAGCGACATTGACTACGAGCCATTCCGAAGGCCACATGAATCTTAGGAAGGTCACTGGGCTAACTGGGGTCTGTTTCCAGTTTTGCCTTCAACTCTGTGATCTTAGGTGCCTCGCTTGGCTTCTCTGAGCCTCACATCCCCCTGCTGCAAAATGAGAAGGTCGGATTAGATCATCCTTAAAGCCCTGACCAGTTCCTCATCTCGATGTAAAAACAGAACTTCTGGGCTTCCCTGGTGGCGCAGTGGTTAAGAATCCGCCTGCCGATGCAGGGGACACGGGTTCATGCCCCGGTCCGGGAGGATCCCACATGCTGCGGAGCGGCTGGGCCCGTGAGCCATGGCCGTTGAGCCTGCGCGTCCGGAGCCTGTGCTCCGCAACGGGAGAGGCCACGACAGTGAGAGGCCCACGTACCGCAAAACAAAACAAAACAAAACAGAACCTCTGCATGCCTCCACCCCACCGTGCCCTCCTTCTAGCCCTGAGCAGAACCCAATAGCCTTCATTTATTTTTAAGCAGAGCAGAGGGGCTGCTCACCAACAACCTTCTATTTGCTTTCATCTCTCTCCTCAAAAGCCAAACCACAACAGATGACAGTTTCAGGGACAACGATATCAGAGACATGCTTGGGCTGGTGTCTGTGTCAGAGAAATAGAGGTTTAAAATAATCAATGCATGTCTCCTTTGGGCTTTAGGCTAGTGACACCTAATCCAAATTCCTGCTATTAAAAATCATCAGAGAGGAAAATCCCATTGATTCCATTTGGCTAACTCTTTGTCCATTTATGTTTGCTCCCTCTGTGAAGCCCTGTAGATCCCTCACCCGTTCCCACGAGGTTCCTGGGCCCCTAAGTGGACAAGGGCAGGTGGAGCGCCCACAGCCCACACTTGGTCCTAACTGAGGGGCAGTGGCATCTGTGGGATCTCTCTTCCGTGTAACCTTCAGAAGCGCGTGGCAACAACCTGCCGCCCGTCTCGTGGCGGCTGAGGAGGGGACTGACGTGCAGCACGGGGGAGAGGGCACTCGCGGTCCCCACAGTCCCGGTGGCCCCACCACGCGGGCCACAGCGCGTCTTCTCCATCAGGGCTATAAATGGATGTTCAGGGATATTTGGGGGGCCAGG